AAATTGAGTAATAATAGCAATAATAATAGTAAATTTAAATTGCACAATATCAAACATACATAGAACAGATACACAAGTACAAGCTACTTCGCAAGGCCTGCATCCCGAGATTGCTTTTTAAATTAAATTATATAAAATACACATATTATATATTTAGTATTGTAACTATTCAATACTGAATATATTCATATAGTACTTATATATATTACATAGAATATGCATGCTTATAGTACATATTTATAAACAATAATATACTATACATCCCGTATGAAAAATGCAATATGGTATCATAATTTTGTCTTTTTTAGCAACTCCAACTTTTAGAACTGATCAGAGCAGGGCAAGCTGAAGAGGCGTTAGCATTTGCAAGTGCTACATTAGCGGAGGCCGGAGCAAGTGATCCAAATGCCCTTACGGAGCTGGAGAGATCTCTTGCATTACTGGCCTTCCCTGACCCTCATGCTTCACCTTTTGCAGATCTGTTGCTGCCTTCACATAGTCAAAAGGTATTTCGAAATTAATAAAAACGATATCTACGACTACCTTGATGTAGTGTAATGATATTTTTCTGTAATCATCAAATTGTAATATAGATTTATTTATAATTAATGAAAATAAAAACATTGAAATGAATATGGTAACAACATAAAAGTCTTAGAACAGTGTCATGTAACCTTTTAAAAAACAGCGTCTGTGGCCGGAGCACTTACCACACTGGGCTGCCACACAGAGGTCCTGAGTTCGATTCTCAGGCCTACATTTATTTCTCTTAAGAGTTCGGATATAATTTGTGGTTGTCTATGCATGTGTTCATGGCACCCGCGATACGGGGAATCCCTAGTGCGGGGGTATGAGTTGCATGGTTATTATTATTATTATTGTTTATAACATCAAGTGACGTGACGAACAAGTTGTGCGCCTGATAGTAAGCTTTACGCCTGTGCATAACAGTTACAGTGCCACTCAGAGCATTAAATCTGAGGGACACTACCACTGCACCCGTTACCCTGAGACATAAGTTGACAAGTCCTATGTGCCTGTATTTTCAACAGCACTCTTACCTTTCTAAACCGGAACACAGTAATGCTGACATTAGTGCTTGGTGGCAGAAATAGGTAAGGTGGCGGTACTTCTCTGGACGAACTCTTCCACAAGGAGCGTTACTGCTACTAAATTATTATTTTAAATGTACATTACAAACTTTCACAGATTGCAAGTGAGTTGAATGCAGCAATCTTAAAGATGGAAAACCAAGAATACACCAATCCGAAACTATGCAGTCTGCTCCGTATGATTCTCTGGTCTCAAAACGAATTAGACAAGCACAACATCAAGTACCCCAAGATGACGGATCTCGCCAATGCCACAATAGAACAACCAAAGTAAACAGTAGATTTAGTTTTGAATTTAAAATTATGTTTATAGTTAGTTTTTAAATTAAATTCACTTGATGTTTATATGTTCGTGTTCTTAGACAGTTTATTTATCATATATATTCGATTTTTACCTCTGTGATGTTAATTTCCTTAAGAGGCAATCTAGATTAATTTATAGTCGCATACTTCATATTAATAGAAACCAAACTGTATTATACGATTATAAGTAATCATTAATAATTAGAGCAATGCTCCAAAATAGCATAATTAACACTAGCATGTACAAAAAATCAAACATGGATGAATTTTTGTAATGACTTAAAATTTGACTGCTGGGGTTAACTCCAAATTTTCATAATAAATAATCAACTCTGCACATTTATAATCTCTATCTATCTCTCTTTAACCTTAAGGATTTTGTAACATTTAGAAATAAAAACCATTAATATTTAAGTGTAAGTTTATTTTTAATTATATGATGATAAAATTCAACTATGACACATTTTCATTTTTTTGCCTTGTTACATGATATTCCTTTTATATATTATTATTTACATTGATCACATTCATACATTCTATGCCAAGAATTATTTTTGTAAATTGCAATTTCTTCAGAATTGATTTGAAACTTATAATAGATTGTTTCAGAGCTAGTGACCAGCTCTAGATTCTTACTATACACGAAAAGAGGTAGTTATGAGTTTGACAATGAAAATAGTGCAAAAAATCCATATTATCCAAATGTTGACTATAGTTCACAACACTAACAGTTTCTTATAACATGTCTCTTGGCAACATTCTTATCAGCCTGGTATGCTGAAGACGCTAGTATGAATCCAGCTAGATTAAAGAAATTTTTCTTAGTGTTACATCTTTGTATTAATAATTATAACATTGTTATCATTATTTCTACTAGAACTTTCCATTAGGCTTGATGATAGCTAACTTTTTGTCACCAACCAAGAACATAATCTAGTGCCTTAGATATTAATCCACTGGACCTCTGCGGTACTGGGGCTGAAGGAATTGGTGTGGGACATAGAGATCTTGCTCCAATTGTTTGTCTGGAATGAAAAAAGATTTGTTTTAACATAGGACTTGTCAGGGTAACAGGGTAACTCTTTTATTTCACCAAAAAGCATGGAGTGTCAACACTGTTTTTACACTGGTAAGGTACTTTTTGCTATAGTATATCCAGAGGTAAGGTTACCACCGGATGTACTATAGCAAAAAGTCAGTACCAAATAAAAATATGAAAGTACAAAATGTAAACTATACTCTGCATGTCGCTAATACATTAAGGTCATGGACTAATTATGAAAGAAATAGCAAATACACTTGATAATAATGGGCTAAATAAGACTTATAAGTAATTTATTTATTTACATCTTACTAGCTGATGCTAGCAAAGCTGTCTGCGTAGAATAAGAACTTTGAGTAGTCTACTGTACTATACTAATTTTCATAGTTTTATGTCCTTCATACAAACTTCCATCCCCTAATACTAAACTAAACTAAACTAAAACTTATTTTTGTACATTTACTAGGTCCCGTTCTATATACCAAAATTAATCAAAATTGGTATAATGATAGATAATTTATTTAAAACACTAAGAGTTTTGCACCAAAATAACATTTCATTAAAGTTTCACTATAAAAGATTTCCTTACCTATCAAAAGAGGTTACACTATTGGCACTGGTAACAGTCATCCTGGGAGGCTCTCTGCATTCCACCACCCCCACCATGATGCCAGGAAGGACCTGCCTGCCACTCAGAGCCAAAGCTCGCTCCTTCTCAGCTCTTGTGGCATATCTAATGTGGGCCCAATTGCCTTGAGTGGGATATTGTTTATCTGTAATGATATGTGGTTATGAGTCAAGAAGTTCTCTTTACAGAATATCTGTAAGAAAATTATGGGTTATACACAAGGCAGCACATCAAGCTACATATTGATGAATCTTGTTCGGTTGCACTGGAGTTGATAAACCGACTAAAGTGTTTAACTTGATGTGCCGTTGACTGTCCAAAAATGAACAGCAAAATAACACCTCTATTAGTGGTTAACTAAATGATTTATTGTTGGAGTATATTACTTGGCAGATATTGTATATAGAACTATGTTGATTAGGAAAAAGATGTCAATAAAAAACATAACAACATAAGTAGATAAAAATTCTTCTAATTAGATGATGATGCAACACAGTTTTATATCAGTTTAATTATTTATTATTTGTTCAGTATGTAACACTCTTGTTCAACTTGGTTTATTGCAGCTTTTTAAATAAAAGGCTTCATTATCTATCTCACCAAATTGTGTCTGATATTGAATTATTGTCAATGAATTTTCCAGTAAATTTAATTCTATTGCTCCAGTACTTATACTATAATGTACTTCCTAATTTAAGACCTATATTTGGTGTGGTTTAAGGATGCGCTATTTATGATGACGATTCAATTTTTATGAAGATCAATTAAGAATAAGAATACATTTATTGAATAACTATAGGCAATTACATAAGGTCTTAAAATATTATATTGATTTGTGCTCTATAGTCTATCAGCTAAGGTGTATATTCAAGCATATATGATGTGGCAACTTTTTGTATTGATTTATTTCAATGCGATTTTTAAGCAGATTGATTCAACATTAAGGCAAATCAACTGTTGCTGATTTTGTAAACACAGGAGTCTTTTCTTTCCTACAAAATACAAATAACAATGAGTTATTGTGATGAAGAAAACAATGTATTTTTGTAGATTTTGTAGTAAAAGAAAAAAATTTCTGTCTTTACAATTGTTGACAATTGTTGCTACTCATTTGATCAATACGATCCGAGAGTCTGTTCTCACTGGCTAACATGAAAATTGTAAATAAACTCCTAAATGAAAATTGTAAATGACTGAGGCCACAAAAGGCTGTCAAAATTATCATTTTTGTAAAAATTTATAATGAGATGATTTTTACAGATCATTTCAAGAGCGTATGATCTGATCAATAAAGCAAAAAATTGTGCATCACTAGTGTGGTTGTCTAGCACAAAAAACCATTATTAAACTAATCTGCAATGATGAAACAAAGTATGTATAATGAATTTTGTTACCTAATATAGCTCCACAATTACTGAAACGTGCCAGAACAGTATTGGCAGCATTTGGAGGGAATCCAAACACAGTAACCCAGTATTCATCCTGTTCCTGACAGCCATCTTGCCATGGTGTTGTCAATGATTGATTATTCATGGAAGTGTTCAAATTATTAGCAAAAGAGTTCTGCATATTTGAATTATTGTTCCCATAACCTAGGAAACTATCTTGGAATGCTGATTTAGTCAATGAAGGATCATTGCTCTTTATAGTGTCAAATAAATCTTCAATAGGTGGACCATTTGGTTTACTGGAATAAGAAATGTTAGGGGATGTTGGCATATTTGCAAACATGCTCTGGTGATTGTAAAGGGCTTGTTGCTGCATCGAAAGGCCCGGCCTGTACATTTTCTGTTCTGGTGTCGATGTTTGTGAGGGACTCGTTGGTGAACCTTTGAGAAAAGAAAAAACAACACGTTAAGCTGATTTTTTCGATGGTAACAAAGACCTTTTTTAATAGTTTTATGGGTTACTTACCGAATGCAAGATTTCGCCCTTTCGTAGGGGAAAGACTGTTCGTTCTAGGGGTTGTAGGAGGGTTAATTTCACCCAAAAGAAATGGTGGCAGATATCCTACGTTAGGACTTCCCGAAGGAGAGTGTGTAGGACTTCCTAGAGTCATAGGCTCCATTGCTGAAGGGTGGTTTTACGTGAAAATTCGTGATTACGTATTTGAAACGCAGTAAAGCCGTTCTTTTTTTGTTTTTATCACTTTTTACAAAAACGACGAACCGTACGGCTGTTTGACAGCAAGAAAATTTCAAAAAACGTCATAGACAATGTCAGTCAACTTCAACTATATGTTTCTTATACTATGTTCGGATACACATGTAAAATTTCAGCAAAAAGGAGTTAGTTTTCATTCATTTACTCGTTCTTTTTTTTTGCATGGCTACATTGCTGTGTATTGTCAAAAAAATTCAGCCAAACAAACGTAAACGAACATGGATTCTTTGGCGAAAGAACCTGATAAATATGATTTTTCCCGTAAAATTGACTGTGATAAAGCATTTTGCAACGTTCCGCAATCCGCATTTAATAGTGCCAATATTGTACAAAAGTTATTTAACAGAGAGGTAAGTTCTAGATCGAAAATCTTATATTATGAGCTTCGTCCTGAGCTTACCAATTTCTAGTGTTTTTTTTTATTCATCGCCTTGAATAATGAGCAGTAACCGTGTAATATTTTTACGGTTGTATTAAACCTACGAGTTAACGTATTCAGTTATAATAAACTTGAAAACTTGGATCATAATTTTCCGAATATTGAAACCATTGTATAAAAATGATGTTATAGCTTTAAGCTTCACCTCAAAGTTCTGAATTTCTTATCACGTGGCTAAACACACTTCTCGATGTACTATTTAATTTTCTCCACAGGATTAAGTGAAAAACTAGCAAATCCTTGACTTTTCAGGTACTAGGTTCAACATCAAGGAAAATAAATGACAGGGGTCGCAAGATCTTCGAGCGAATCCCGGCGCGGCAGAGGTTCTGCCTCAAGGACATTGTGCCCCGATCCTACCTAAGGGGTCATGTGTTCATGGGCTTGTCTCAATGTGGGCAATTCCTTCTCAGTTTCACATACAGCTTCACCCCTTTGGCACTATTTAGAGAGAGCTCTAAATACACGTAAGATTTTTTTTAATTCTACAAAAACCGGAAGCCTGTGAGCTGTTAGAGTGATACAAAATGTTCAGCATTAAATATGTGGAGGCTGAAAAACAGTAATATGTTAAGACTGCTCTTTTCATTCTCATATCAATATTAGAGAATAGCCCATAGTTCACAAGTAGATTCATGTATATTTTCTGTAATTATGTGTGATAAGTAAAGTTCTATTTATTTATTTCATAACAGAAAAAGTTCCTGATCAAAATAGCATTATTGGATTACGAGTAAACATATCCATATGATTACTTGTTCTGCTAAGAAACTTGTATAAAGGAGTTTTGTCTTCTAGTGATCATTATAGGGTTGACAGATAATCACATAATTTAAAAGAAGAAGAAATCATTTGTTATTCCATATTGTTCTTTATGTCTTAAGATGTAGCAAAATACCACCGAAACACTACTAAAAAGTAAATTTACTTGTGTGCTTTAGTCTGTCAATGTATTGATTTAAAATGATTATGTTAGTTTTTGACTTATCTGCTTTAGTGCCAACCCTAGACTTAAAATTTTATATCAGGTATTGTAATGGTTTGATGGGAATAAATTGTCATATGGACTCATCACCATTACTATTTAAAAGTAATAATAATAACAGCCTTTATTGCTGACACAATTTAGTATTAAAAAATATCTTAAACCTAGATTAATACTAAAAATAATAGACATAAATTTCCAATTAAAATTAATACTTAAGATTAATAATTCATTATAATTACATCTGTGTGCAACATTTTTCTATAATTCAATTATGTCCACATCATCAGCTTGTCTTTCGACATAGGCCTCCTCCTGAGACTTCGAGTTTTCCCTGTCCCGTGCCTGTCATTGCCAAAATGGGCCTGCCACCAATATTTTAAATCATCTTCCCATGTTTTTCTCTGCCTTCCCTGTCTGCGTTTGCCTTCTCTTGGTTATCACTCTGTTACATCTCTGGTCCATTTTCCAGTCTCCCTCATAATATGCCACCCAATGCCACTTCAATTTCCTCATGTAGTTCTTAACATCCTGTACCATTGTTCTATGTCCAATTGATCTAATGCTATTTTTGTCTTACCTTCTCATTCCATTCCATTACTATTTAATACAAAGTGGTTAATAAATGTAAAAAAACATTACACAACATCACATTCATTGCTCTGATCCTAAAGTAAGTAACTAAAGCATTTGTGTTATGGAAATCGGTAACAACAATGGTACTACACACAACACCCAGACCCAAAACTCAGGCAGGAATCGAACCAAAAAAAATTATGAACATATTTATGATTACTCTAAGCCTGAAAAGCGTGAAACAATTAAAATTCTACTTTTTGTGATAGATAACTCCTACTATTCTTTGTATACAGTTTCCACTTCCTATCATACGTGCCCGGGCGTAAAGTGCGCAAGGTACACAGTGTTCCCTTGTTTGGTGACGAGCCAGTCGAGTCCAAACTCAGTATATCCATTGAGCAATGGAAACACAACCCAGGCGTGCTTGTTGTGTACGGGATTGCGTAAGTATCCTTATTTATCACCTTTTAGGTTTATTTATTTATCTAAGAAAGTCAACAGAGAACCTATTTACAATCAAAATGTATATATAAGTTTAACTAAGTCCAATTACAGATTTTCTAGACATAAAGTAGTTGCAAGAGCTGAATGTATGTATGTATATATCGTCGGTGTTTTGTAGAAAGGGCGAAAGCGACAATTCTTAAATTTTTCAGGGGAGTATGTTTTAGGTGCTAATGACTGTTTTAAAATATTTCCATAGTGTTTAAAACATATTTTAAAATAAAATTAAGTTTTAAAACTGAAACTTAATTAAAACCAAAATTGAATTTTAAAATAGGACTTAACCAAAAGCAGCTATCATGAAATATGTAAGAAATGTCATATACGCCCTTTCTACAAAACACTGATAATGTGTAAGTAATTTTAAAAGAAAAAATGATTATTATAACCATTGACTTACAATTATATGGACGTCGGGTCCGCGCTAAAAAGTGTCCGAACTTATAGGGCGTTAAAATCGTATACAGAGCGTCATTCACGCTTTAGTCTTCGTTTGTTCGATTGACAAGCAAAATTAGACAGTACTGCGATGACATTACAATTTAAATTCAATGTTTTAGCTTTTTCATATTCCTTTACATGTCACTACGTTTAAATACTTGGGACATGGGACATTTTTTTCGTGGTTTTTGTATTAGACCCGTCGTCCATTTATTTGTAAGTCAATGATTATAATATTTAAAAAATATATATTGTGTGTACTATCCTCCTAAGATCCAGCAAACTACAATGGGAAAAGCGCTATATGCCCAATGTATGTATGTTAAAGTCCAAGCAAGTATACCCTCTACAATGCATGAAAAACGTATTTTTCCAGATGTTCTATGGTCATATAGAATACATAGTCATATTGAATGTTATAGTTTTTATAATGTACTTTCGGCGTTTATATGATTGTTGTCTGATTCACTGCACCTATTATGTACCTTTACAAGAAGGCGGGGCCTTCGGAGGATAAAATAGTCTGTCTCTTGATGCAGCAACTCACAGAAAAATAACCCTTGTTTACTTGTCCATATATTTTATTTTCTTTGTTGATCTGGTCTCATCAAGTTCTGAAGAAAAAATGGTGGCTATGCCAATGCAATTCCTGTTTTTTTTTAGATAAACCATCAATATTCCGGTTGTGTAATATTTGTACCTAAGAGAATATGATTTTAATAAATTTCTTTTTAAATTTCAGTGATTCATGTTCAGAAAGGTCATGTCTCAGCGTCATTGGTGTACCAAGACTGGGATGTAAGAAATGCGCTGCTTATTCCAGAAGTGAAGGTATGTGTGAGGCTTCCAGAGTTAATAGGTCAACTTTTTCGTATTTAAGAGCTGTTCAGTGTCCTTGTTTTGAGTATCTGATATGACATGAAATTATTTCTTTTATTTCATCTATATAACTTCGTCTTGGCATAGTAGAATAAAACAAGCAACGAAAAGGGTAACTCCGTAGTAAATAACAGCGGGGTGTATGTGTGCGTAACCCCCGCGCACAGACGCTCACATTCTTAAATAATGAACGGCGCGTTGGGCGACCCAGTGTTATGCAAATGTATGCGTGCGTACATGGCTAACGGCAGGCGCGCACACGTACAAGCAGTAGAGCTCCTTGTGAAAGAGTTCGTCCAGGGGAGTGTTAATACTCCCCTGGACGAACTTATGTCTCAGGGTGACGGGCGCAGTGGCAGTGCCCCTCAGATCTTTACGATTTAAAGCTCCGAGTGGCACTACAAATGTCATGGACATGCGTGTCGCTTACCATGAGGGGCATAAATTGTTCGTCCCTTTACTTATCATAAAAAAAACAAGCCGCGCTGCAACGTTTGTATGGGGTTTCCATACTTGTTCTTATTCTACTATGATCTCGGTCTTCCTTTACCTTTTCTCTTGTATAATGCTTCCAAGAAAACTGTCATGACGTATTAGATGCCCAAACATATTTCTCTATCATAGCAGGTATTTGTATATCATTGTTAACATGTACAATTTATGCTAAATTGGTCGTTAAACTATCACAGGGTCTGTCCTTGACTCCTGTTGGAGGATTGCAATTTATATCATAACGAATATTACAATAACAAAAAAAACGAATACCGTTAAATGATCATCCTCTTATTGAAGAGCCAGACTCTTGTCAGTTCCTTGACCTCTTTATAGCTGTTCACTTCGATCTTCTTTTTTTATTTCTTCACTATACGCCAATCTTGGCCTTCCTTACTTTCTTTTCCCTTCTATCCTCCCCTCAATTATGACTCTCACAAATTCGTCAATACGCAAGCGCCAGTACGACATTTCAAATGACTTCAATCTCTCTCTGTCTTTTAATGTTATTGTCCATGTCTCGCATCCGTACAGTGCGGTGCTCCGGACATAGTTTTTGATGAATCTTTTTTTCAAATGTACAGGTATTTTACAGGTGAAAATGTGTTTTTTATTACGGAAAGTCTGTTTTGCTATTGCGATTCTAATCTTTACCAAGATATTTGAAATGTGGTACCTTCTCAAATGGAGTGTCATTTATTTTGATGGATATAATTTTGGAAGGGTGTTTTGCAGTTACTAATACTTTGGTCTTCTTTTTGTTAATCGTCGGACTAAATTCCTTATAAATCTGATTCATCCTGTTGAGTAGGGCTTCCAATTGGCCTCTGCTTTTTGTAACTACAGCTATATCATCGGCAAATCTAACAAATAACACCCTGTGACCTTTCACTCTTAGACCTTTGTAGATGTTTCTATAACTTTTGTATTGCGCATTCGATCAAAATATGGAAGATAAGAGGTGAAAGTGAACAGCTTTGTCGCACCTATGATAAGTGATTAAAAATAAAAATGATAACTAAATCAATAAAACAATATAGTTATAAACTACATGTACTTGACCACAAAATAATAAGTTTGTATCATCATCAACCCGTATACAATGTGGGTTGAGGACTTCACACGTTTTCCGAGGGTTGTGAATCTTTTTCGACGTGCATGTTTTATCAGGATGAAATTGATTTATCTCCAACTCAGAGGTGCGAGCCCGGATTCGAACCCTCAGTCTTTGCTTGAGAGGCGATAGGACAAACCTTTAGGGTGCCATGGATTATTAAGTTTCCATCACTGATAATTTAAATTTATATCTTTATCATTGAGAAATTCATAGATTAATAACATTTTTCAATTAGAAAGTGTTAATATAGCTCCTTTCACACATCAGCGTATAAAATAGCACACACCCACTCATACATGCACTCACTTACTCACTCACTCACTCACTCACTCACACTCACCAGATGCACAGACGCACAGCCGCACAGACGTACAGACGCACACGCACACACACACAATAGATATTACATTAATAGCAGATATATATAAACTGCCAGAAATATTTTTTTTAAACAATTCAGATTTTTACACTAGGATGAGAAATTACTTCAAGTCTAATTTCATTTCCAGAGGAACTTACAATGGGCCAAAGGTGTTTGGAACACAATTTCGCAATACACACTAAGTTCTTCTGCACGTCAGACTCTAGTATGTACGAACCCGTTGTCCAACTAGCATACTCCAACCAAATCATCATATATACGGATTTCATTCACATCCTTGAAATAGATTTCGTAAAGCCTGATCAAGATAGAAACGAAGCGAATGAAGATAATAAATCTACCTTAGATAGGGAGGAAATAAATTCAATAGACATGAACCCAAGTACACCCGCGTCAGACGTTTCGGCCGCTTTCCAGTCCCCAAAGTATCAAAACAACGTTGTCCAAAACATTCTTGCTGATTTTTCTGACTTGGAATATGAGCCGTACCAGATGTCGAGGCCTGTGAAATTGCCTGATGTTATGGGACAAGAGTTATGCATTCAGGCTTCGTCAATATCACACAACTTGGTCGAGGAGTGGGAGGGACCATCACCATCCATAAGGACCTTGATAAGTCCACCACTAAGGTCACCAAGACGACGACCTGCCGAAAGCATGTCTCGGTTCAACGAGGCGCACAGAATAAACGCTGAGAAGGCTTACGAATTTGTCGAAGAGACTGAAACGAAATGTGAGAAGTTGAGTATGTTTAGGAAACGACGTTTAGCTGATAAAAAGTACGAATTTTCTGAAGACAACAACGAGAATATAGTCCCTTTTAGAGTTTTAAGGAGTAATAGGAAATATTTTATCGGGTCAACGAGCAAGAATCAGTCGCGGCGAGCGAAATCCCCTCCAGTGGAAAGTGTGGTTTTGAGGACTCATAACCAGATAAGCAGGCCTCCTTCTCCAACTACAAGTTCAGATTTGAAGATCTCGAGTAGTTCTTTAGAGTGTGACGACAAAAGCGAATCGGAGTATAGGGTGACGGAAATGCTGGACGACGGTTCTCTTAAAACTGTGTCAGTTCACGATTCTACCTCAAAGACATTGTCGGATTGCCCTGTCAGTCCTCAAGACCCTTACTTGGTGCATTCAGGGAATTCGAAATGCAGTAAATTTTTCTCAAGATACTTCGTCGAGAGTGACGATGAGATAACATCTATCATCACGGATTCGGAAGGTAAATATTTTGGTCTTATGTACACGTCTTTGTGGGTCGATGGTGAATGATAATTGGCGGTGGTCATTGTTCAGCACGCTGGCCCAATGCGAATCGGAAACTTCATATGTTTTCGAACCTTCATGAAACTTCTTCGACGGGCATGTTTGAGAGATATAGCTACTGATTATTCACAGGTGTACTTAATTTAGATATAAATAAATAAAGTGCCAGACAACCACAACAATTCCCTGAGGTCTTACCATGAACTCTTATTACAGTTTAGTATAGGTTCGTAACGACAAAAAAGCGGGTTTGTGATATACACTTCATATAGCGTATATCACAATCCCGCAAACTCGAATCGTAATAAGAGTTCAAATAAGACCCCTGGTCTCAAACTAGGGAATTCCCTGTGCTATGTGTGCCTGAGCAACAGAATTCACTCTGGTGGTCATTTCCCAGAACACCCAGACCAAAACCAATTTAGAAAAGTTCATTTCCCAATTTAGTTTTCCCGGGAATCGAGCCCAGAACCTCCTCATCCAGAGTACACCGTTTAAAACGTTGGGCCACCGTATTAATATAATTACTATATAAGGACTTACTCTATAATATTTTATATTAATTATAAGGACTCTTGTGCTGTTTGCCCTGCAAAAAATTGGCCGTATTATAAAATTTCCCCTTAATGTATTTATAATTCGTTGTATAACTATTTTTTTATGATTTCCAGATGACTGTATATCAGGATACCATGTGGCATTGCATCTCACAGCTCACGGTTCAGGCTACACTCCATTACAAGCCGTAGGTGCTGGTGCTTGGGAAAGAATTTGCTCAAATCTCGGCTCGCCTCCTCCGTTGACATTGAGGGCACAACAGAGGTCGCTGGATACAGAGCTGTTATGCAACGAAGTATGCGGAAGACTGTGCAAGATCAATGGAAAGAAGTTTATCTATTGTTTTGATTGGGGATGTCATGTCATTGACGTTTGCCAGTCCAGCGGATGCTTGTCAGGGGTTTGTATTAAAATTTAATTTAAAAAACACGCATTACATTTATATTTATGTTAGTATTGTTATAATTATTAATACAAAGATCGAACACAAAAATTTCTTCGACCCGATAGGACTTGAACTCATGACTACACTGTACCGTGGCGCTGCTCTAACCAACCTCAGTTGGTGTAGCTCAACTACAGGTCAAGTTATCTTCTTCTTTGTCCTGGCATTATGTCACATTTCTTTTGGGGTCGGCCCTCTTAGTCTAAGCGCCACTTGCGTAAGGTCAGGGTTCCAAGAGGTCTGCGGTCTACCTGGGTCTGGGTCTTGTTTCAGTTTCTAGCGCCAAGATTTTTTTTGGTCATATGGTTATCGTCCGTACGCATTACGTACATACCAAGGTAAACGGGTTTCCCTAAGTTTTTCCTGTACAGGTGCCACTTTAAATGTCCCTCGGATATAATTGTTTCTGATTTTATCCATCAGGGTAACGCCACCCGCCCACCTCAGCATGCGCAGGTCACGTTATACAGGTCAACTTATCGAGTTGATGAAATGCTCCTATGTGTTTTTGTTATAGATCTTTGTACTGGATTTTTAGGCATTCAGCGCCGCTAGTGACATCTAGTATTAATAATTAGTAAATTATTTAAAACCCAATGGTGTTGGTGTAATCTATTTAATTAAACCATTCACATATTTATTACTTGTTGGTGAATGATTTTTCTATAAAATCAATACCGTGAATGGGTTACCTTTTTAGATTGACATATTTTTAAAAACACGTAACGCAGATAACTAGTGTTGCGGCCCATACATTCGATTTTACTTTTGTAGTCGAGCTTCTTGTAAATTATAAGCTTTTCTTTATCATTTCCACGTCAAACGCCGCCAATTGGTTTTCCAAGTACTTTCCATAAAGTATATGTACTTATTATATTATAAATTATGAAATTAAATTCATAGCATATATTGATGCGTCTTGATGAAGTTGAAAGTTGTGTGCCATGATCATAGCATTGTGGACTCTGTTTATCCCGATGTGAAATAGGGCATAGTGTATGCATATGAGACGTTATACCTTTATAGCTCTTTATAAAAGTCGTATGTATGTGTCACAACAGGGATTAGTAGCAGTAGAGCTCCTTGTGAAAGAGTTCGTCCTAGTACACTACTGCCAACTTACTATTTCTACGTTCCGGTTTTGAAGGGTAGGGTGCTGGTGAAATTACAGGCACATGGGACTTGTTAACCTATGTCTCAGGGCGACGAGCGTAGTGGCAGTGCCCCTCAGATCTTTGCGATTTAAATCTCTGAGTGGCACTACAATTGTTATGGACAGGCGGTAGCTTGCCATCATGCGCACGACTTGTTCGCCCCGTCACCGGACTGAACTAGCGGAAGGCGTTGATTTGCTTATAAAAACTGTCGAATTAACCACTTTTGAATTAGATTCACTTTCATCGGTTGACCTTGATACAGCTGTCCTTGAAAGAGAGGTCAGATTTCGGCAACCTAAAATGACACAAACGCCTGTGTACAGCTGTGCGCAATGTGGCTGTGGGGCAGCGACGACACCGGTGAAGTGGCGGAGTGCGACGCCTGCAAGGACGTCAGCGCCGGCTGCTTGCCGCACCGCAGGCAGTACGCCGCCGAGGTCAGTATCTTTCCAGCTTTGCGTCCTTCGCAGAACTGCCAACCGACGAGACATCATCTGTCCTAATAAAAAGAGGGGCAATGTCTCAATCGATACTAACATTCAAACGCAAATCGCTACAATGTCTATTTAACAAACAATCACGGGATGCAGCTTTTTTAATAACTTTAATTGTATTTATTTATTTATCGCACCTTTGCAATGAAAGTGACCTAATTCAAAAAATGAACAAAATGAGTTTATATCGTAAAACGACTTTAAAAATCATTGCGGAAATGAAATGAAATTTAATAAAATGTTATTAATTTTGTGTGAAAAAATATTTATATTAAATTTGACCGACTTCTGCTGTCCCGATTTTTTTCTTACAATGCAATAAAATGATACTTACATAAAAACTAAGTCTATCAGCATTGAAAATAAATTACTCAACTTTATTAATTTTGTTTTAAAAATATTTGATTAAATTTGACCAACATTGCTGTCCCGTTTTTGTTTTGTCCCATACAACGAAATGATCCTTACATGAAACTGATTGATTAGCACTAAAAAAAATTTCTGTGAACAACCCACGCTTGACCAAAAAGTTTACGAAACCAAAATTTTTTTAAAAGAAAAGGCTTAGTGGTTCCTGAGACAGTTTCATTGTATTTTCTATGGTTTCGGATATCCCCATACTGTCCCATTTAAAAAAAAGACCACTCTGTATATGCTCAACTTATTCCGATCACTGGTATATGGCAATAAATAATATGAAAATGTCACAAGTTCAAATCTTATTTTGCGTATTCCTAAGAAGTTGACATTTTGTATTGGGTCACTTTCATTTTAAAGGTGTGTTATGATATCATTATTTGACATGGAAAACACTATAAATTATATTATGACGAAACATTTAACTGCCTCCGTGGCCGAACGATTGTCATGATGAATTGCCACGCAGAGGTCCCGGGTTCCTACATTTATTTCTCTCGTGAGTTTGGGTGAATTTGTGGTTGTCTACCTATGTGTGTGTCCATGGTACCCGCGATACTGGGTTTCTTCTGGTGCGGGGAAATTAGTATGTGTGTTATTTAAGCTTATGAACTACGAGTAAGTGCCTCTACTCTCGGGCATCGTAATATGCAAGTGCAACAATATGAGATAAAATATTTAAAAATGATAATGAAATAGACGAAAATTATTTGAATCTATGAATATATATTACTATTAAGTCTACTTATAGTCTATTTTGGTTTATAATATTTGTAATTAATTAAAGAAATCAGAAAATTATTGTCATTGTATTTTCATTATTATTATTATTCACTTACAATCCTATTTTGCCTCCAGTTTATAACCTAGGTAAACAGTAAGAGTTTTATTATCTCGTTTTCTAACAAATAACCTTATTTTGTTTACTGACTGTGCTATTGCCGAGAGGGGGAGCCAGGTGAGGAGAGGAGAGGGCTTACCTAGCTTGGGCTCCTGTCTCTCTTAATTAAACTCTATGTTCAATTATGTACTTATATTTTGTTCTTGATGAGAGATAATAAATGATATTATGTATAAATGATGTGTGAGTGGAGAGGAAGAACCTTAAAATGTTGCAAAAATTGTATTGTTTCAGTGTCTGTTTGTATGGGACCTAGTCAGTGGAGTGTACAGGACAGAGAGGGTAGCCATGACGGAGGATGACAGCCAGGAGGGATCCAGGAGTGAGCATTGTTAATAATAATAATAATGTACCTAACAATCACACCTGGTTGCCTGGTCACCAACTAGAGAATGCCCTGTACTATGAGTACCAAAGCACCAGACGTACCAGAGGAACACCCAGCTCAAGGAGCTCTACTGCTAGTAAAATAATAATAATCTACTTAAGTCTGGAAATAAAATCATATCTAAAAGAAACTCAAATTACTAATTGCACATAGTTATGCAAACTAGAACCAACCCACAAAATGTGACTCGAGATAATTAGATTTTTGTAAAAACAGTGTGAAGGAATAAATAGGTAAGTTATTTGAGTTATGTGTAGCATTGAGAATGATATGGGGAAACATATTATATAGCAATAAATAGAAAACATTATGTGTCTTTTTATTTATTTAACGAGAACCATGTTCTAGTTTTCGTAATGAAAACGCTAAACATTTACAGTACTTCAGCACAGTACATGTGACATGGATCCACTTAGCATATTTAAAAAATACATTATATGAAGTTAAGCAGCATGGTTCTTTTGAGCTATTAAAAAGTTACTTATTTAGGGTTGGTACACTGGAGGACTTTTATTTTCTCCGTTTTGGCTTGGTATATTGCCAGGATCTTTTGTGAGCGGGTAAAGGAAACACGTCTGGTGTTCTACCTAAATATATAACTCAATTTCACTCAAGGTGTGGGTTGGTTCTTGTTTGCATAACTATGTTCAGTTAGAGTGTAACCGGGCTAATATCTACAACTGTCAGTTTCTTAGTATCTTAATGTTGAGAAACATCTAGCCCGAAAAAAAGAATTTCAATACTTACGTATCGTTTCCATTAAGTTAGTTCACGTAATATCAGTTGTACTGATTCGACCGATTTGCAATAAAAGATTAACTACTTTACAAAAAAAAAGATAATTCCTTATCCAAATATCCTACGCGAGAAAGTGGTAAAACTGACAAAAAGTTCTCGATATCACCTACCAGTATGTGACCTTTTTTTTTTATGACCTACCAGTACGTATAACTCAGTTTTCTTTTGTTATGGCTTAACTTCTTGCTTTTTGACAATGACATTATATCAAATCGTCAAAAAATGCCAAAAATCAATATCGTAACGAAGCTTGAAATCTGTGACAATATTCCTTTTGCAGATATTTCAGAGCCTCATTTAGTATATACCCTTAGTTCCCAAAGTGGTCTAGTTGGACCCCCAGGTGTCCACGGGAGACTCGACGGGGGTCTACGTTGGCGTGACAAAAATTAATTTGAATATGGAATATGGTAGAAATGTAGCTAGGGGTCCACCAGAAACAGTTAAATTTTGAAAGTGGTGTATGAGAAAAAAGTCTGGGAACCTCTGCTATATACGAAGAATGGAACCCGGGACCGTTGGGCCGTCGTTAAAATTTCCTTTAATCGAAAAAATTATATAATTTTGAAATTATTTTTGAACAGTGTCTGGTGCCGACCGAGCGAGGGAATTGGCGAAGAAGCTAGGGCCGATCAATATGCCTCCTGGCAACGAGAACAGGTTGCTTACAACCGTCACAGGTAAATTTTATCCAATTAATGTTCGGAAATGGCATGGACTTGGGTATGAACTCGCCCGGGGTATGTGGTTAGCTGTAGGGGTAAACTGTAGTAGGTGGCCTGGGCGTTCATTTCGCGCAGCTAGTGCGTCTTAGTAGCGTTCTAGACGAGGGTCTAAGGCAAGGAGACGCCGTGGGCACGTGAATTGCCCTTTAAGTCGGGAGCTACGTCCGGACATTGTCGCAAGACACTGCGACCTCAACGAGCCGTCCAGCCGCGTAGGTTTTTGGGAATTGGAGAGACGCTTCGGCATCGGGAGGTGAACTTGCCTGTAGCTCAGCCACCAAAGATGAGATCTGGTAATGGACTTTAGAGTCATCAGCTAGCGGTGAGCGTGCCTACAACTCCGATACCTATAAAAACCCAAAGGCCTTTTGAGAACCGGGTGAAGTCTGTGCAAACGGACTGTTCTGTTTCGATCTCCGTCCGACTTCCGTCCGAAACAATTATTGCCAAATAAGCAATACTTGACCAAATGAAAAGACGGGTGATGCGAATGAAACTTCATACTGGATACTTGTCTTTTAATTTTGTCGAATATTACTTATTTGACAGTAATTGTTTCGGACGGAGATCGAGAGTAACCCCCCAGGACCTGAGAAGGTCCCTGTGCTTGCACAGGCGATAGTGCCCTTCTCGTATACCTTGAGGGTCGGTAGGGAGGGTTACCATAACTGCTGTCCACTAACTAAAACGCGGCTAGTGACAAATGGTCAAATACCCGTTTTAAATAGCAAAGGCAGAGCACAAAATTCTCTTTTAAAAACCATTGACTTACAAATAAATGGACGACGGGTCTAATACAAAAACCACGAAAAAAAATGTCCCAAGTCAACCTATTTAAACGTAGTGACATGTAAAGGAATATGAAAAAGCTAAAACGTTGAATTTAAATTGTAATGTCATCGCAGTACTGTCTAATTTTGCTTGCTTCGCTGTCAGTCGAACAAACGAAGACTAAAGCGTGAATGACGCTCTGTATACGATTTTAACGCCCTATAAGTTCGGACACTTTTTAGCGCGGACCCGACGTCCATATAATTGTAAGTCAATGTTAAAAACAGTTAAAATTAGGTAACGAGTTCGGCTTATCGGAACTTACCCTAACGATGCATAGCTGAAATATCATTAAACAATCTCCATTTTCTAAAACTGGGTTATGGCTTTTTTATGATATCTCAAAAAAATATTTTGTCACTTAACCGCGTTAGATAATCAAAACTTATGTAGAAAGAAACGGGAGGTGGTCTTATTGTACTATGGTATTTATCTATGATCAGGTTTTTTACCATTGTGTTTTAATGAGACAAGTTTTAATATATCACAGGTCGGTCACTCCGCAAGTTAACAGACTTAGAAAACTGCATTGAGATCACAAAAAACCATTCCGACAGCTCCGAATCCGAATCAGAAGCCGAAGAAGACAGCGATTCTGACTGATTCCTTACGATCACTGTGAGTGAGTTTACCATTTCTTTGCGAGGTATTTGTGTTTACATTGACTCATAACTCATGCGGATGCGTTGTAACAGAGTATAGGTTTTGCTGTAAGAAGAGGTTAGGCTATAAGATAGTGGTTTATCTTTAAATGAACAGGAACTTGTTGTGCTGTGTTTACAATGCGTTTAATTACCAAGCACATATTGTAAAAGTACTTACTTCATTTAGTATTAACGCGTGAAGCGTATGAATGTAGCACAACCCGTAAACGACAGTGCGTAATAAGCAGAGTATATTTACCTAAACTTCAGGTAAAACAAATTGAGTGGTAAAAAAAACCCCCTCCAAAATCTTGGTATGTTTCAAATTAAAAGGCGAAAAGTCAAAAACATAATAGTTGTATTTTTATTCATAATTACAATTATATTGTTTTTATGTATGTATGTAAACACTTTATTGTACAACAAAATAAATATTTAACAAAGAAACAAAACATTATGTACAAAGGCGAGCTTATCCCATAACGGGATTTCTTCCAGTTAACTTTTGAATAATTGAAAGCAAAGTTGGGTCCTGAGTCGGCAATAAAATCGAAATAAAAATTAAATTTAATGCTACATACCAAATAATTATAATAATAAATTTATAATATTTTATAGTTTGCTATTATTATTGATACAAAGAAAAAATTGATCTGGCTGGACTCGACGCAGCGCTTGTTACCTCATCGTGGCTATCTACGGTGAGGTAGCCACAGTGAGGCAACAAACTATAGGAGTATTTTTACAAAAAAAGTTATGAATATTATGGTGGTAAAAACATGATGATATTCAATAAAATAAATAAATAAAGCGACACCTCTTGTCAGTTTTTGGTAGCTGTAAAAGTACCTGGCTGAGTGAAGAAACTTTCATAGGTTTCTCACAGGTGGCGTTGACCGCACAAAAGCGATATAAACTCAATACAAAAACTGTAGCTCAGTCAGTAAGAGCGGTAGCCACGATTAGGAAACAAAAGCTGGTTTGAGTCCAGTCAGTTCTAAGGAGTTTTTCTTTGTGTTTATTCGATTTTTGTATCGATAATAATAACAAACAATGGTTTGTATTGTATTTTGTTTTATATATTTGATGTGGAAGTAGTCAATACAACAATATCGGCAGCTCACAGGGAGGTATTATCCACTCTTCGTGTATTACTTACTTGAAGTTTAGGTAAATATTCTGTTTCGATCTCTGGTAATAAGTTAAGATACTGTTTATTTTCGAAATTTCTTGCTTATTTAACGAAATTTTGAAAATTTGACAGGTAACGCAAATGTTTGAGTGTCTCTATTAGGGGTCTCTTCCAGAGAGACCTTGTGTACCACCCTGACCCAATACTGATTGGGGATATCTAGTATTTGTAAGTTTCTTGGTCCAAAAGTGTATTGTTTGTCTTCTTGTCATGAAAATTTTCTCAATTCTTTTTTCTCATCAAGTAGATTAAAATTTTGAGACGATATTTGATGTAACATTTTAGTCGACAAATAATCCTGAGAAAGTTGTTATATATATTCCAAGTTAAATGTTCGTAGTTAGTCTAATAGGATTAATAAAATGTAATTTGAATTCTCGGCTATATTCGGATTTTTTATTAGGAGACAATAAACTTGCGATTGGTTGGTTGCTGGTTAAGTGTCTTCACTTGTTACTTTATTTAGTCACTCAGCCGATCATCTTGGCAAATTATTATGTTTTTAATAATTAGTGGGTATGATTTTTTAATCAAGAATATGATAACGTAAAAATTCTAGAAGTTTGTGGAGATCAAGTGTAAATTAATTATTGTTTAGCAGAATAATATTTGAAATTATTTCATGTTTATTTTTGGTTCCATGACAAGAATATAATAATTTATTTCATATTGCCAATATCTCAATATTACGATTTAAAATACAACATCAAGATATAATATGATCGTCACTAATATTAACAATAATAAAATTACTATACAAATTATTTGAGAACTGAATAAACACATCACTAACATGGCAACGTTATTTTCCAAGGTGAGATTAGTAGCTGTCAGTTTGTTATCTTTAATTGAAAATCCGACTATATTATGTGGAAATATGTTGAAATACAGGTCGAGGAAACTTTCATGAAATAAATTCTTTAATGCCTTTAATAAAGACTTGGTATTTTGAACCTGGTACTTTGATCGTAACTCTGAAAAAGGCCAAAGTTCCGTCTTTTGTCTAGATGGCGCTGGTCAATAGCCTGGAAATAGTTTATATAATGTTAATGTCCGTGGATGTCAATTAATTCATCTTTAAAATGAAATGTAAGAAGTCAGTTTTTTTCTTTGTAATATTGTTCAAATATCAATCACGACTAAAAATTATTTTGTGAACTTTAACAAATCGACCCCTCCTACGTATGTCGAAATTGCCAAATTTACAGGGGATCGTTTTAAAGTTTTCGAATTCACCGAAATGAGCATAACACGTGACTTTATTTCTCACTTTTATTCGGCAAAACTCACACAGAGTATTATAAAATCCTAGATATCGGTTGTTTATTTTATCATTATACAATTTAACTTAGCATTTCTATGCTAAAGTCACGTGTTATACTCATTTCAGTGAATTCAAAATTTAACGCCCCCCTGTAAACTTGGCAATTTCGACATACGATACTTTACGTAGGAGGAGTCGCAATATGAGTGTCAATATGCGCCATAAGCGCCATCTAGTTGATTTGTTTGTTATCACTACAAATTAGAGTAGCTTTTGATAAATTGCAGCTTGTCAATGTAAAACAAATTAATTAACATATCTGTTTGATACTCGTCACGACATCTGGCTTACCAATAGGTACTAAATACCCTACTACGCCATATTCTTCTTCTCAAAGTCTGTTAGGCTTCGAAATAGATGATAACAAACTGGCATTGTTGAATATAAAAGGGTATGAAGTTTTTCTTTCATGATCTTCCATTCGACCATTTTTTTTGTTTCGCAGATTATCCAAACTGTTGTAATTTCATATGTCACAAATTTATTAATGTAATTATACATGTGTTGTATAACACTATGACGATGATAAGTTGCAAAACGTCGAAATGAGACTTTTAGTCGGTCTTTTTTGAAAATGGAGTAAAATGACAGTTCATTGCGCTAGTGTTGCCCGCTTATACGCAGCTAGTGATTGCAGTCGATATTTTATCGACTATCGACTGAATGTTAGTCACACTTATGCTATAAATTCAAATTCATTTATTCCAAAATTTACAAAATGCATTTATGAACAATAATAAAATGTATAACCTAAAGATCAGCACAAGGCTTCGTCAATAGGTAATCTAATACAAAAAAAGTGCGATTGCGATGCTATAAACAGCCGAACTTATCTCATTTGAATCATCATCGGACCATTATTCGTCCAACTGCTGGACACAGATTTATGAATTATCAATTTTTGTAAGTTCACACGTACATACACTGCATTTAGAACTATATCTATTAAAAATATAAAGAGGAGACATATTTTAAAGTTTTTCATTTTGATTCAGTATAGATAATCAAAACCGCCTCTTATTAAAATGTATACGAATAAAATTTTATTCCGACACTACTAGGCCAACTGTCAAAATAAGAATTAATAAGGCAGTAACGCAATTAGTAATCATTAGAACGTCGGAACATTCACAATCCTAACATTTTTTCTTTCACAATCTATCGATAAAACTATCTACAACAACTACATGACTATTTAAAATTTTATAAATACTGGAAACCCTGCAATGTCAAACGTCTTCAAAAAAGACGGATTATAGAAATAAACTTTCTAAATGGGTTCTGATCTGGGTGTTTTCTGGGTACTACCCTCGGACTTTGTGTCGTTGATGGTGATAGCAGATAGCGTTTTAATATAGCGTTACAAAACCATGTCGAGTAGAGACTGTTTGTACACTATCACAAATATTTACAAATAGTATAAATGTAGCTGAAATAACACGACTAAATTGTATTAATATATAATTGGTTGTGGCATAGTAATTTCCACTACATTTTGCACTCAATAATAAGACTCAATTTATATTGCAATTGATATTGTACATAGCATAATAAACTTTATGTTCAATTGTGTAACTTACTAACTATATACGAACCAAAATCTTTGCGTAATGCGAAGTACAATATCTTTACAAAAATTCACTTCCATTCCGTTACGCCGCAATCTAAATTGAGCCTAATGTGACTTAAATCGAAAACTAACACTTTTCGGTTGTTCACAATAACAAAAATGTATGTACGAAATAAAAGTAAATATCGTTTTTCATATGAAACAGAAATTTTTCAAACGGCACATATGACTGGTGCCAAGTTCATTTTTTTTATATCAAATTTGTTTGTTTGCCAAAACAGTTCTTAATTTTCGTAGACGTAACTTTATTATTGAATGTGCGATTTGTTCTTAGTTTTATTCCAGGGTTAGGACACATGAGCATAGAGTCCGTACTGAACGTGTGTTTTTGGGGTTTGCCAACATACTTCACTATTTAGTAAGCAGTAGAGTTCTTTGTGAAAGAATTCGTCCAGGGAAGTACTGCCTCCTTACCTATTTCTGCCGCCAAGCAATAATGTAAGCAATACTGTGTTCCGATTTTGAAGGGTAAAGATGCAGGTGAAATTACAGGTAACTGGGACTTGCCAACTTATCTCTCAGGGTGACGGGAGCAGTGGCAGTGCCATACAGATCTTTACGATTTAAACCCATGAGTAGTTGGTACAGCAACTGTCATGGACAGGCGTATGGCAAAAAAATGTGGAATGTTTTCTTCAAATAGGGTCGTTATTGAGGTACCTATAAAAAAATCATAGAAATAAAATGTTATTTTTATTTATTTTATAGATAAGGTACATCAACAGTAGTACATATTATACTCTTAGATAACAGTGTAACTTTACATTAGTATTGTACTTATATGTCTACCTATTACAGACGTATACAGTACTAAGCAACAAAAAGAACAACAAAGAAATTATGAAATTACTTGGGACAGGATTCGGGAATGTTTTTTTTGCAAACATTACGGGAAGAATGAAAAATGTCTATAAATTTTATTCAAATTATTGTGTAAGTTAAGGCTGTACACTTCGCTTCTTTTTCCATTTTACGTCATATCCTCTTAAGGCCCCATGTACATCAAAGTGTACGTAATATATGAAGT